AGGCTAGCAGCGGTCCTGGTACATACTGAGCCAGCGGGAAAGTGGTCTGAGGGGAGCCTGGAGAGGCAGGGCCTGGGTCGGGAAGGCTTTGTAAGCCTGGATAGGAAGTTTGGATTTAAGTCTAAGTGTGATAAGCTTGAAGTACTTTAGGTCCAGAGCTGTTGGGAGGCTTAAGGAAAGGAGTGGCATAGCCTGATTTATGTTTTTAAAAGGGCACTCTGGCTGCTGGGTAGAGAATGGATTGGGGGCAAAGGTTGGGAATAGGGCAAAAGTAGAAATAAGGGGACCAGTTAGGAAGCTATTGCATTAGTTCAGACAAGAAATTATTGCAGCTTAGACCAGAGTGGTAGCAGTGGAGAAGTGGACAGCTTTGGAGCCTTTGTTGGAGGCACAACTAACTGACTGGGTAGAGGGATTTGATCATGCAAGGTAGGTGGGGCTGTAGTTGTTAGGTGCTGTCAGGTCAATCTTTGACCCTAGCGACCTATGTCAAGACCCATGCTAAGAAATTTGGAAGACAGCTACCTGGCCAACCAACTGGAAGAGATTCATATTTATGCCTATTGCAAAGAAAGGTGATCCAACAAAATGCAGAAATCATCTAACAATATCATTAATATCACACTCAAGTAAAATTTTGCTGAAGATCATTCAAAGGTGGTGACAGCAGTACATTGACAGGGAACTGCAGAAATTCAACCCAGATTCAGAAGAGGACATGGAACCAGGGATATCATTGCTGATGTCAGATGGATCCTGGCTGAAAGCAGAGAATACCAGAAAGATGTTTACCTATGTTTCATTGACTATGCAGAGGCATTCGACTGTGTAGATCGTAACAAATTATGGATAAAGTAGAGGGTTAACGAAAGGAAGACTCTCAAGGAGATGGACTGACACAGTGGCTGCAACAATGGGCTCAAGCATAACAACTGTGAGAATGGAGTAGGACTGGGCAGTGTTTCGTTCTGTTGTACATGGGATCACTATGAGTTGGGACCGACTCAGTGACACCAAACAGCCACAACAATTATAAAAATGGTTTTGGCCTAACAGAACCCCTGAAAGTGTCTCTAGACCACATTTTGAGAAGCATTGTTGGTCGGCAGACCTCAACCAGCATCTGTGTGTGTGTGATGAACTAGAGTGGAATAGACTGTATCAGACCACTCTGCTCTCGGTAAATATTTTTATCGAACACCTCTTGTGCGTCACTTCAGATCCTCTCGGTTCCTCCTCTCACTGCAACCACTGATGATGCAAACTTTAAGAAGATTCACACAGGTGCCACAGGACAGTGCTTCTCGGGGGCCCATATGTGTGTACTCTGGAGGGAGGGGGTGTTAACCCCATAGGGCCACCCCGGGCCCCACTCTGGGACAGGAGTCAGTGGATCAGTGTTTCCCCATTTCATCCTCTAAGCAGACAGTTCTGTGCTTCATTTCATAAACTCCTCTGAGGGTCTTGTGAGATTGAGCTCCACTCACCATAGCAACAGTGCACTCAATAACACATGCCTGTACTGGCTTGTTTTTCTCTGATCTGCTCCCCTTGTTCCCTGTGTCTGCTCCCTAGCGTTGCTTTCCAAATAAACTGCCTCCACACAAGCCTTTTGTCACAGGCTCTGCCTTCGGTAACCCACGCTAAGATTTTTTTATTTTGGAAAATTTTTGCTTCAGTTACATGCAAGTGTATATGTTCATAGGGCCATGATGTATAATGTGTTTCCCTGCTGTGTGTCATAATTTATGAAAAAAGCTTGAAAGATACTGTGTTTTACAGTGAGCCCAAATGACAGCCTGAAATACTCCAAATAAAAGTCAGTAGTAAAAA